CAACCCCAGGGTGCTTAACTAGTGAGCCACATCCTCAGACCCTTTAATTTTTTTATTTTCAGGCAAAGTCTCACTAAATTGCATAGGATTTCATTAAATAGCTGAGGCAGTCCTTGAACTTTCAATCCTCCTGTCTCAAACACCCACCCCCAGCCCCTGTAGTGGCCGGGATTACAGTTGAGTCACCATACAGTTCATTCCTTTTTAATGGCTGGATAATATTCTATTCTATGCATAAACTTGCACATCACCATCACTTCTACGTTCATCAGTTGATGGACACGTGAGTTGTTCACACCTTTTGACTATTGTGAATTATGCTGCTATGAACATCAGTTACAAGTACCTGTTTGGTTCCCTACTTTCAATACAACTTAATATTTAAAAATGGTGTATTAACAAACAGCCAGTAAAATTGCTGAAAATTTAATAATCAGCTCTGGAGAGCCTGTTAGAGACAGTACTAGCACCATACAGGAGAGTGTAACTTACCCAGTTGGACCCAGTTGGGTACCAGGGACTGATCTCAGGAGCACAAGGGATAACTGGTGACTCAAGCACACCACACCAGTATTTTCCAAATGATGATAAAAATTTCCTGGGACATCTATTAAAATTCTCATGCCCTCTTGAGTGATTCTGATTCTGAAGGTCTGAGGCAAGGTGATTTTTTTCAGTCTGGAAAACTCTGATATCATACTTGCCCCCAGGACCTGAAGGAAAGTGGGTACCAATACAAGAGCCTGGAAAAGAGAGAAAGCAAATGTGAGTCCTTTGGGGAGAAACTGCTGCAAAATTTGGGATGCATATTTTTGCTCTCCAAAATCATTCCCAGCTCCAACATTTATTAACTGCATTTCTGTCCTACTCGTCTCCCTGGACCCCACCTTAGGAAAGAAAACCTTCCAGAAAGATCCAAGTGGAAATCATTAAACCCAGCAATTTGACACCATCACAGACAACTTGCATATCATTAGACTATTTAGAAACATGCTCTGAAGTTCTGAGGTTGCATTCAGCAGTGTTATTTTGATACCCTGACAAGATATTTTTAGAGCATATGAAGCCCAAATTAAAACATTGCTACAAAGAAAAAAAAAGTGAAATTAAATCAGGGCTCCATTAAATGGAAAACTACAGTAAATATCAGGTAAGAGTGGGGGGAAAATATCAAGTATTTTTTGAGAACTATTTTGAGAGTAGAGGAGATGGAGAAATGTTCCTGGCTTCTATGCTTGGATTTGCCTACATCCTTCCGGGTAGGGAGGCAAAGGCCTTGCCCCTGCAGCCTATCTTGACAGGCCCTGATACATTAGGTTAGAAGAGGAGGAGTCTCCAGTTCAGTGCTCAGAGCTTCCATTTAGAAGTTCAAATCTTCCTTTGGTTGGGCCTGGAATGGTTAGTTCAGTTTTAGGTCTCCTTGCCTTCCTTCTTCCTCTCACCTTTTCCCTTCAAGACTAGCCCTCTTTCTGGTGTTTCTCTGTGCCTTTATTTCAGGACTTCCATGACTCAGATCTAAGACCCATCTAACGGCAAAAGCCACCGATAAAAAAGTGCACATCCTTAGATTAGACTTGTTAGATCATTGGTTCCTAACATCTTTGGGATTCCAGACCTCTCTGATGACTCTTCAGGTGCAATTTGGTGGATAGAGTTTTTGGGGGGAGGGTTGGGTACCAGGGATTGATCTCAAGGGCACTGGACCACTGATCCACATCCCCAGCCCTATTTTGCATTTTATTTATTTATTTAAAAAATATTTATTTTTAAGAAGTAGTTGAACACAATACCTTTGTTTCATTTTTACGAGGTGCTGATGATGGAACCCAGGGCCTCGCACGTCCTAGATGATCCCTCTGCCGCTGAGCCACAATCCCAGCCCTTGTATTTTATTTAGAGACAGGGTCTCACTGAGATGCTTAGCATCTCCCCACTGCTGAGTCTGGCTTTGAACTTGGGATCCTCCTGCCTCAGCCTCCTGAACCACTGCAATTACAGGTGTGCGCCACCACGCCCAGCTGCTGGATAGAGTTTTAAAGGTTTTACTCCCTCAAGCCCACCAGTGGAACTCAATAAGACTCTTAGTGATCCACAGGCTGGTAGCCTTGGAGTAGAGATGGCTTTGGTCTCTGGTTAGGAGTGATAGGCATGCTCTGCAGCCCCAGCACTCCAACTATGAAAGGAATTTGAATGGCCTTGCTTTTCTTAGCATCTTGATAGGATTTGAATTAGATAACTGAATAATTTGCAGCAAGATCAAGAGGCCTCTTATGGCAATTTAAAAATGTCCTGGAGCTTCTTATCAAGGAAGATGATGGAAGAGAGTTCTTTGGGGAAAGAAAAGTTGGTATCACTGTTTAACAGAGAGAGAGAGAGAGAGAGAGAGAGAGAGAGATAGTTCAAATCTACCAGGGAAAGCAGTGTAAGAGTAAGTGCTAAGAGTCACTTTCCATGTTGGCTTAATTCAGGAAATAAAACAATTATGTTAACTCTGTCTTTGGACTGGGGGAGGTGCAGTGAAGCCTGATGATCATGAGGCTGTTCTGTGCCATCAAGGAGTATGCCAGCCTGCACAAAGTGGACTATGGACAGATTAACAACGCTCACCCCTCACCTGCCAGATACCTAAAGTACATGGCACATAGTAGTTGTTTTTTTAAATAGATGTTGCAGGGGTGAGACAGCATAATATCAATTCTGATAATAACTTTATTGAATGAGTTGCCTGAGTCTATAGTCATTTCATGCTGACCAATTGGATTTTGAACAATGCCCCCAAAGGCAATGGATTTTTGTTTTGTCTTAGCTAACTATTGTGTGTTGAGCCATTATTCCTGGCTGCTCTTACGTTCAATTGTCTCTTCAGGCTGCTCCCTGTGGTTGATAATAAAATCATTATGGGAGTAGGGCAGCCATCCAGAGCCTAGGGCTCACTGGAGGCTCTGAGAGGAAAAAGGAGGAGTGGAACAGGATAAGGGAACAGGCAGGGATAGCTTAGCTCTGAGGTTCTAACATGTATTTCCCTCTGTCAAAATTGTAGCTATTTAGGGACATATATTTATGCACATACATACACTCATGCATATACAGACACATATATTTATATAGATATATTTTAACTTTTCTTACAGTCTTGGTGCATATTCATCTCCATGTATGAGTTGCAGCCTACAGACCCTTTTGGGTTCTGTTTTTTAAAATTAGCATTATATAATATTTTTATTGATGTTTAGTCCTTATGAGCAACTTTTGAAAAATAGACTCTTTTCTGACTGCAAAATTAAAGCATTTTCATTATTTTCTTAAAATGCAGACAATACACAAAGTGTTAAACCCCCCCCTTGCTATTTTGAAGTGTATCCTTCAAAACTTCTTTGCTATGTATATCCAAAATGGCATTATACCCTAATCCTGATTTAATTCCTGTTATCTATGTCAATAGACCTACAGTAGAATTTTTAATGTTTTTGTAGATATGCCACATTTTATTTGCCCTATGGCTGACATTTCAATAGTTTCCAAAATGTTACTATTTTAACAGTCCTTGTCTTCTATCCTTAAACTAATTCCTAAAAGTAGAATTGGTGGGTCAAAAAGAATACTTTTTTGGGTACTGGAGATTTAACCCAGGGTCAATTTACATCCCCAGCCTTTTTTTTTTTTTTTTTTTTTTTTTGAGACCGGATCTCACTAAGTTGCTTGGGGCCCCGCTAAATAGCAGAGACTGGCCTCCAATTTGTGGACCTCCTGCCTCAGTCTCCTGAGTTGCTGGGATTACAGGCCTGCGCCACCACACCCAGCTCACACTTAACATTTTGAAACACATAATTCACCAGTTATCGCTCCCAGTAAAAGTGCATACGAGGGCTCCTTTCTCCTAGCCCTTGCCAGTGTAATTATTATTTTGATGGCATAGAGAGCAGGTTAAAAATTGTCAGAAACACAACAGAAACTTCCCGCCTCCAGCAACGCTCCACTGGGGCCTCCCGGCCGCCTGCTTCACAGCAGTCAACAGCCACCGAGTCCCTGTCGAGTGCGGGTTCCGCCGCTCGGTGGAGAGGCGTTCGGGCTGGGGGGGCGGACGGCTGTGCGACCCGATGGCCGCCGAGGCAGGAGGAGAATAGGGTCAAACTGGGTGGAGAAAACTGCGCCCCGGTCCCGGAGGGCACCGAGGAAGATCCGGAGGATGGAATTCAGCGTCCCAGGGAAGAAGATGCGGCTTAGGTGAGGAAACTGCGGCGGCAACGGTCTCACCATCGCCCGCCGCCGGCTATGCGCACACTGGAGGGACACCAGGGGGCGCTGGCGCCGCGATGCGGGCGCGGCGATCCCGGCTTGGTCCAGGCGCCAGTGACACGCAGAGACAACCTGGATCTGGCTGGCAGTGTTTCCTCCCACCCCAGGCGCCTCTTAGTGGCAGCGGACCTCTGGGCCTCTCGGCTCTTCTTCTGTGAAATGGGCTTACTCCTGGGACCTCCACCCGGGAGTTGTTGTGAGTGGCTACTGAAATGACACAGTGGCTGTGATTTTTGTCCTTCTCCCTTAAAAACACCACCACCGTCCAACCAGCACCTGACCCAGCTGGCTGAAAGAAGATGTGATCTCAGTGGAGATCTACTGTATTCCATTCTCTCCTTCAGCGCCGCCTGTAGTCCTTTGTCCCAAATCAGGGAAAGGAATGTTACAAACCCTGGTCCTCAATGCTCAGGGAGCCCACTGCGCGTAGCTGAGGAGGCGGGAATGGTACACACGCAGGAAAATTACTTACCAGGGTTCAAAATCAACTGCATCTGACAGTACTCTTGGGAGAAGGGATGCCAGCCCCTCCTGGCCAGTTGTGAGCTGACACAATCCAGTCTACTCAGCGCATCTGGTTCAGTCCCTTGTTCAGTTCCAGTTGGGGAGGAGATGGCTGGTGGCCACCTCTAGGAATGAGGGCACGGAGGGGTGGGGGCTGGGCTCTGTGTTGGCAGTTGCCATGGTTTTCCTCCGAGTTCTGGAGCTAACTTGCTCACTCCCTGAGATACTCAGGTCACAGAAGCAGTAGGTCAGAAGGTTGAGGGGACCTGAGGAGTGCCACCCTGGAGCCTGCCAGCACTCCTATTAAAATGGAGGCTTTAGATGGCCAAGGGGGTGAAGGAGACAAGCCAATAGAGAAGGTGAAATAAAGGCAGGGGATGGGAGGAAGGGAGGGAAGGTCCCTAGGGGCTGGTTTTGTAAAGTGGAGAATCTGAAATTCAAAGAAGAAGAGGTGAAGGAAAAATGGAGGGGTACCTGAGTTAGCAAGAGGCCCAAAGAGCAAGAGAACATAATTCATTCAAACAGATGTTTATCTAAGACAAGTGTTCCTGGCAAGATGATGGGAAGGGGGTCCCATCTCATGGTTGGTTATGAAGACTCAAGGGCATGTGCAGATGTGCACGTGTTTTTTCATGTGTTATGGTCTGTGTGTGGTGTGTATGTGTATTTATTGAGTTATTTAGCCAGAGTTCCCCCTTTCTAGTCCGTGGAGGGGCCTGTCCCATCCCCTCCCTATCCACCTCTGTAACTTTCCCCTAGTGTCCTCTCAGAGTGGTCTGGGGATGTATCTTTCTTGTTCCCACTGGACACAGAGAGAAATTATTGCTCATTTTTCTTAGAGACTTTGCAGTTATAGTCATGTCAATCTAATCCTGTGCTCTGACTTATAGTAATATTTCACAGTCACTTAAAAATTAGAGAGGGGGGTAGCAGGGATTGAACCCAGGGGTGCTTAACCACCTCACTTGGTTGCTCAGGGCCCCGTTAAATTGCTGAGGATCGCTTTGAATTCGCAATCCTCCTGCCTCAACCTCCTGAGTCACTGGGATTACAAGCATGCACCTGGCATTCATAGTCACTTTGTTAACTTTCAATTCTTTGCCCCACTTTTGCTATCAAAAGATTCATGTTGTCACCATCACCATTTTTTTTTTAATTGAGGGCCTTTTAAGATGCCTGGCATGACAATAAAGATTATAGATGTAAAGACATGGACCTGAGACTTAGGCAACCAATACATGTTTGCTGAATGAAAGAATAAGTGAACCCTTGATCATTCCCTCAAGGACTCACTTAAATCTTTTGATGTCTCAGTGTTCTCTTCTGTAACCATGGATATGACATCTAACCTCACGGAATTTGTAGGAAAATAAAATGAGCTAATGTTAATCTAGAACTTTGCAAACTGACTAGTATAATATGTTATGCTTGTTATAAAATAAATAGGTTTTCAAAGCAGAGATTTTTCAGAGATGGGCTTCTTTGCCCAGAGTGTATTCACATCAGTGCTGGGTCAAGGAAGTCATAAGGAGGACGGAGAAGGGCTTTGGCTGCCATTTGGCTGGTGCTTATAAAGCACTGTCCCTCAGGAGCGGTGGCCCCAGCCCCTCAGCTGAATGCCCCCTGTCTCCTCTCAGGTGAAGAATGTGCCCTGCTTAGAGAGGAGCTCCAGCACCATCCCTGCCGGAGACTCACTTGTCTGCCATGCCAAAGGCTTGGGCCAGGACACCTTCAAAATTGTGAGTAAGGAACCAGGTTGAAAGTCTGTCCTCTGTGCCTCTGTAAAGAAGTAGCAGGTCTTAGACCTATAGCTCAGTGCCCCACTTGTCAAACTCTTGGGGTTAAAGTGGGGTGAGAGGTCCCCTGGAACCTCCTCACTAAGCACATACAGCCTTTCCAGAGCTTTGTTAAGGGCTGCTGCATCCGGGCCTATCTGCTAGTCACTTGACACTGCCCCAATGCCTCGTCTTTTCCCTATGTCCCCTCACTGTGCCTGTTGCCTCCTCAGTGTAAAGAATATCTGCGGCCGCTGAAGAAGTTCCTGCGCAAATTGCACCTGCCCAAGGACCTTCCCCAGAAGAAGAGGCTAAAGTACATGAAGCAGAGCCTTGTGGTCCTAGGGGATCACATCAATACCTTTCTGCAGCATTATTGCCGAGCCTGGGAAATCAAGCACTGGAAGAAGTAGGGTGGCCTCCTTGTCTTTCTACCCACACTCATTTCTGAGCCATCCCATCTACACTAGTCAAGATCTCCCAGTCCTTCATCTTTATGTGAAAGAGTGAGAATCCTAGAGGTGACAGAGAGGGTAGAGAGAATAGAGTCCCCCTGGCCATTCAGGGCAGCACTGATGGCACCTTAGCTGTGCACACAGTGGACTGTGAGGAGAATGCCCTTTGACTGAACAATACTGGGTGCAGGTGCTCATCTCTAGGACATGATATTCTGGTTCTGGCACATCCCTACCCCCCATCCCCTCAACCAAAAAGCAAGGAAGCAGCATGAGCCCATTTCTCCCTGGGTGGGGTCCTGGCTCCAACACAAATGTTGGAGAAAGGGCTCTATTCTGCCCCCTTCAACCTTGAGTCTCTCCCCACAGGATGCTCTGGCGATTTGTCTCCCTCTTCTCTGAATTGGAAGCCAAGCAGCTTCGCCGCCTGTACAAGTACACCAAAACCAACCAGCCGGCCAAGTTCCTGGTGAGGCTTTCCAGAAAGCTCCTCTGGGGGCCTGCTCAGGGTGGTTTGATGTGTTCTTAGATCAGGAGGGGAGGCCTAGGACTAGTATGACCAGGCATTGGGGTCCTTTCCACGGCTCACTGCCTGAAGAAGACTCCACTACTCCTGCCTCTGCCCTGCACTGGGCAGAGAAAGGGGCTGAAGAGGGCAGGGGCTCAGCATTAAGTTCTTTTTCTTTTTCTTTCTTTCTTGTTTTTTTTTTTTTTTTTTTTTTGAGGGCAGGTACTGAGGATTGAACTCAGTCAGGGGCACTCAACCACTGAGTCACATCCCCAGCCCTATTTTGTATTCTATTTAGAGTCAGAGTCTTACTGAATTGCTTAGTGCCTCACTTTTGCTGAGGCTGCCTTTGAATTTGCAATTCTCCTGTTTCATTCTCCTGAGCTGCTGGGTTAGCATGAAGTTTTTGATAGGAATTCACCCTCCACACACACACTCTGATGGTAGCAGGGGTAGGGACATCCCTGAGAAACTATGGGTGGGATGGTTGAGGTCAGTCAGCTTGGGGAAGTCTCAGGGGCCTGTCCACAGAACCTGGCCTGGCTTTGTCCCCAAACAGTGACCCTCAAACATTTTAGTCTGGACAGGTTATCCTTCTTGGAAAGTGTTAAGAATATCGAAAGGTTTGGACAGAGTGGTGCACACCTGTAATCCCAGTGGCTCTGGAGGCTGAGGTAGGAGAATTGCAAGTTAAAAGCCAGCCTCAACAACTTAGTGAAGCCCCAAGCAACTCAGTGAGTCAGTTATCTCAAAATAAAATGTACGAAAAAGGGCTGGGGATGTGGCTCAGTGATTAAATGACCCTGGGTTCAATCCCCAGTACCAAAAAAAAAAAAAAAAAAGGCATTTATTTATTTGGATCATGTCTGTTAATGTCTACCTTATTAGAAATTAAAGAAAAGTTTTAAACATATATTTACTAATTTGTTTGAGAATATAAATAAGGACAATCTATTACATGTTCATATTTTGATGAGCCGGGTAGTTGCACACACCTGTAATTCCAGCTACTCGAGAGGCTTGAGGCAGGAGGATCTGAAGCTCAAGGCCAGCCTCAACAATTTAATGAAACCCTGTCTGGAGATAGAAATAAAAAGGGCTGGGGACGTAGCTCAGTGGTAAAGTGCCCTGGGTTCAATCCCCAGTACTGGGGGGAAAAGAAACAAAAAGGAAGAAAGAGAAAGAAAAAAAAGAACTAAAAAATGTTTATAAAAAAACTATTTTTAAAAAAATTAGTGAGAATATAGTAGCGTTTTATATTTTAGCAAATTTTTTCCATGTCTAACTTAATAGAAGACAGCTGGATTCTCATGTCTGCCTCTGCTGTCAATGCCATGATATATGACTTGGCTGACGTACATGAAGAAAAACCAGCCTCACACAGATACATGCTTGGAAAAGAGAGCATTTTCTTAGCATTCCCAGATAACTGTGGATTTTTTTCTTTGATCACCACATTAAACTCAGTAGGTGGCAATTTCTTAAATACAGAGTGGAATCTGAACCATAACAATGAACTTTTAAAAAAATAAAATTCTTTTTAAAAGTAGTTTGATGCTTTTAGAAAAATTGAGTGGAAAGTTCAGAGTAATACCTGAGGGGGGTACATTTGTTATGTTATTACTGGCTACATTACATTATTACTAGCTAAAGCCCACAGTTTAGGATAAGGTTCAGTCTTTGTGTTGTGCATTCTATAGAGTTTGAGAGTATATGATGACAGGGATCCATCATTATGGTATCAGAATAGTTAGACAGCCCTAAAAATTCCATGAGCCCCACCTATTCGTTCTTTCTTCCTTCTTCCCTCCCAACTCTCACAAAGACTGATATTTCACCATTCTCAGAATTTTGCAAGAATGTCACGTAGCTAGAATCATACAGCAGGTACCTTTTCAGATTTGGATCAATGGACTTTAGATGTACTAGATTTCATTAGAATCCATTGATCTGTCTTTTGTTCTTTAAATGGGCCCCAGGGGGGTTCCCTAGGGGTTTGCAGAGAATGCTCGGAAAAACCCTAGGTCCATAATAACAATAATAGGTAATAGTTGTTTTTAAAATTTTTTTTAGTTGTCCATGGACCTTTATTTTTTATTTATTTATATGCGGTGCTGAGAATTGAACCCAGTGCCTCACCCGTGCTAGGCAAGCATTCTACCATACTGAGCCACAACCCCAGCCCAAGAGTTGTAAAAACTCTTTTTAGGTCAGGATTGAAAAGTAACCCTAAGTGGTCATTAGAATTATTGTCCACGGTTTTGTAAATGAAGATCCCAAATGTAGTGAGGTAAAATAACTTGCCCCACACCCCTGCCACTCCAGCTGCGCAGGAACCTGTCAGCCGAAAGGAACCCTCTCCCTCTTGTCTCTTCTTCCTCTGAGTGTGAACGGCTGGATCATTTCACTGATTATCTTTCATAAGGAGAGGTGGGAGGAATCTCACTGTGTTACCCAGGCTGGCCCCAAACTCTTGGGTTCAACTGGCCTTCCCACCTCAGCCTCCCAGGTAGCTGGGACTACAAGGTGGGGGAACGACAAAACCAGCTCTAGTGATATTCTCTCTCTCTCTCTCTCTCTCTCTCTCTCTCTCTCTCTCTCCCAGAGATTAAATCCAGGGCCACTTAAGCACTGAGCCACATCCCCAGCCCTTATTCTTTTCTTTTTTTTGAGAGACAGGGGTCTTAATAAGTTGCTTAGGGCCTCACTCAGTTGCCGAGGCTGGCTTTGAACTTGTGATCCTCCTGCCTCAGTTTTCTGTCTAGTGAGTCTCTCCTGAATATAAGGAGTTGTCATTTTAATGATTCCTGAATTTCTGAGGTTCATTGGCCAGAAAAAAAAATGTTTTAAATACCTCTAGTCTCTCAGTTTAAATTTTGACAAATTAGGACTTTAAAACCAGTATATTTGTTTCATTTCAAATCAACAAGAAAGACACTATCACCTCCCCCACCTCCCCCCCCAAAAAAAGAGATGGAAGATAACTTTAAAATAAAGGACAACCTAACTAGGGTTTGATTTAGTCAGATTCTTTGCTGCTGTGACTAAAGGATCTGACCAGAATGATTGTAGAGGAGGAAAAGTTTGTTTGGGGGCTCACGGTTTCAGAGGTCTCAATTCATAGACAGCAGACTCCATTCCATGGGGCTTGAGGTGAGGCAGAACATCATGGTGGAAGAGTGTGGCAGAGAGAAGCAGCTCCCATGATGATCAGGAAGCAGAGAGAGGGACTCTGTTCTCCAGATACAAAATACACACCTCATAGCCAAGCCCCCAATGTCCACCTCCTCCAGCCACACCCTATCACTTCAGTTACCACTCAGTTAATCCCTATCAGGGGATTAATTCACTGATTGGGTTAACACTCTTAAAACCCGATCATTTCCTTTGAACCTTCTTGCGTGTCCTTACATATGGGCTTTTGGGGGACACCTCACATTCAAACCATAACAAGATATAGCTGAGTAGTAGAGCACTTGCTTAGCATGTATGAGCTCCTGGGCTCAATACTCAGCACTGCAAAAATATAAAAAAAATAAAATAAATAATAAAGGATGACCTAAGAAGGGACAATGGCACCCTGGCTTCAATGTCCCCCTGGTCCTTCCTCTTCCATCTGTGATTCTCCCCACCATCCTTTTGACTCAGCGAGTGTTAGGTACAGCCAGACTCAGCAGTTTTTCTAGAATTCAGGCCTCTTCTTCACACTCCCCTTAACATTGTGGCCCTGTTGCAGGTGGCATTCTGCCCCTTGGATTCACCGGAGAGATCCTTGCTGGCTGACCAGGAGGACAGTCTGCCCAAGCTCTGCAATGCCTGGGGGCTGCACAGCAACATCAGCGGCATGAAGGAGAGGCTGTCCAAGATGCAGGCCCCGGGCAGAGAGGCCCCTGTGCTGGGGGAGCCAACATCCCAGCTCCATGTCAAGAGAGGTAATGCCCAGTTGGTGCAGATGGGGGTGGGGGTAGGAGGAGTGCCTGAACTAGGCTCCCAAGCACAGTCTGGGTATATCCCTGGAGCAGGCTTGAGTGCCCAGGACCTCCATCCTGAGCCTGACAAGATCCTTTGCCTCCTTTCCACCTTCTCTTCATCCTGCATTTTTTTCTCTCCATCCTTCTTTCCTTCCCTTTCTCTACTTTCTCTTTTCTATTTTTAGCTTCTCCCCCAGGTAAGTTCATTATAGAACACTTAACATGTACCAGTAAGTGTAAAAACAAATAGAGAAAATCACCCATTACCCAGAAGCCACCACTGGTACTATTTAGAGTATTTCCTTCAGGGTTCTATATATTTCCCCCTCAGCAGGTCTCATAATACATATAGTTTTGACTCCTGCATTTTTTAGTTAGCATTTAAACAAATGCACTTTTCCATACAACAAGAAGCATGGTTGAGCAGTTTCTAAGTGATCAAGAGCATAGACAGGAAGGGTCCACATAAGCTGTAGCAGGATACTCACTATCAGGTGGGGGGGAAAGAGGACTCACACTCACAGTGAGCCAGATGGTCTGGGACGGGCTTTCCAGCTGCTTTGGCCTCTACAATAACCACAGTATCTGGCTGTCTGCACAGAGGCTGTGGGGTTGGGGAACAGAGTCTCTTTAATGAGAGGGGCTCCAGCCAATGTGGGAACCCACGAGGGCTCCTCCTGTGCACTCCGGTACAGAGTGATACTGCACCCATCCACCTCTTACTTCTGGAACTGACTTCTGGGCCACAGCTAGCTTCCCTTGCTTGACTACTGCAGGAAAGGCAAAGGCAAACAAAGTGGCTTGAGGACCTCAGATTATGGTCCTAGGATAGTCCCAGAAATTCTGAAGACCTGGCTGGTTAGGGCTAATGCAGGGCAGCAGGCCTCAAGTGGGCTCAGGGGCAATTCTTCCTCAGTCCCACCTTGCATCCAGCAGGTGAGAGTAGTGAAAAATGGTCAGTGGCCATAGGCATGGGCTAGGCAGCTCGTGAGGCCCAGAACCCTGCCTGGGTCCTGTGAGGGCCCATGCATGGCCCTAGTGCTTATAGTTTAAATGGAGGAAGTAAAACACACAAGTGGAACTTGAAAGAACGAAGGCCAGTCCATAATCAAGATGCTCTTGGCTAAGTAGTCATGGATCAGAATAGGAATCAGAATAAGAGCTATGGCAGCCCATCACTGTGCAAGGTACTCTGTATCTTCATTTCATGTGACCCTTGCAGCATCCCCAAGCAATGGGTACTCCTGTCCCTCTCTGAAGCCATAGGGCAAAAGGTGTGTTAATCAGGACAGGTAGGTTGAAACAGGCTTTAAAGAAAGGGACAAAGGGATGGGTGCAGGGGAGGGCAGGGGTGAGGTGGCACTGAGTGGACAATCTGAAGCGGGAGGTGGAGAGCAGGGTGGAGAGGTGCAGGGGTGTAATGGGAAAAGACTTGGACAGTGACCTGCGAAATTTGGTTTTCGTATATTATTTTTCAGTGTTGGGGAATTCAACCTCACACGGTAGGCAAGTGCTCCACCACTGAGCTGTATTCCCAAGCCCCTTCAAGCAATTAGTGAAATTTTTAGAAATTTCTTTTAGTTGTTGATGAACAAATACCTTTATTTTGTTTATTTTTATGTGGTGCTGAGGATCAAACCCAGGGCCCCGCATGTGCTAGGCAAGTGCTCTACTGCTGAGCCCCTTATTTATTTATTTTTATGTGGTGCTGAGGATGGAACTCAGCGCCTTACACATGCTAGGTGAGCACTCGACCACTGAGCCACAACCCCACTGAAATATTTTTTTACTATTATAAACATAGAAAATTAAATACAGCTGAGCAAAAATAAGAAAATATAAACATTACATTGTCATTTTACCACTGCTAACACTTCCCAGATCACTTTTATGCATATAAATGTACGTACTTTAACCAAATTGAGACTGTTGTATGTGTGATTTTGATTTGTTTTTGCCACAGCTTTGTGATTTTGATTTGAATTTGCTTTGTAAATTAATGGCATTAGGGGCTGTGGTTGTGGCTCAGTGGTAGAGTACTCACCTAACACCACATAAAAATAAATAAATAAATAAAAGTATTGTGTCCATCTACAACTAAAAAATATATTTAAAAAAGTTAATGGCATCAACTTTTCCAAGTCAACATTTTCCTTTCATGTGATAGTTGAAATACATTCAAATTTCAGAAATAATGATGGCTCTGTTTTCCCAAATGATGCATTTCACCTGGTTGTCTCTTAAATCTTTTTACCTAACAAAGTTGTGTCCCCCTTTTTTAATATTTATTTCTTAGTTTTAGGTGGACACAATATCTTTATATTTATGTGGTGCTGAGGATCAAACCCAGTGCCTCATGCATGCTAGGTGAGCACTCTACCACTGAGCCACAACCCCAGCCCTTGTTGTGCCCCCTTTTTAATACCCTTGAATGGTTGAAGATATCAGTATTGTTCTATGGAATGTTCCATATTCTGTTTGTTTGTTTGTTTGTTTTTCTTGCATCTTTCAGCTTGTTTCTTTACCTATAAACAGGATGTTAGATGAAAGTATCGGGCTGGGGATGTGGCTCAGGGGTAGAGTGCTTGCCTAGCATGCACAAGGCCCCAGTTTCAATTCCCAGCCCCTCAAAAAAAAAAAAAAGATATTGATAAATTAAACATTTTGTTGATACATGAGAGATGAGGTTGTGTCCTGCCCATTGTTACATGAGAAAGCACATGATACCTGGTGAATCCACTATGAGCAGGCAAGATTAATCACAGAGTCAACCCCTGTAATTAAAAGTAACCTGGAGGGGGGGAATGCTGGGGTTATGGCTCAGCGGTAGAGCGCTCACCTCGAATGTGCAAGGCCCTGGGTTCGATCCTCAGCACCACATTAAATAAATGAATGAATGAAATAAAGGTATTGTGTACAACTACAAAAAAAAAAAATATTAAAAAATAAAGTAACCTGGGTGTAGTGGTGCATGTTGGGGCACGCCTGTAATCCCAGCAACTTGGGAGACTGAGGCAGGAGGATTGCAAGTTCAAACCAGCCTCAGCAACTAAGTGAGACCTTAAGCAATATAGCGAGACCCTGTCTCAAAATAAACAATAAGAAGAGCTGGGGGTATGGATCAGTGGTCAAGCACCTCTGGGCTCAATCCCAAGTACCACAAACAAAAAGCTTGGTGTAATTAGAGTTTGATTACAGTCCAGAGGCAACACAATGGAATTGGTGTATTAGACTCAAGAGGTAGGAAGGTGTCAGAACACAAAGCCAGAGGTCAAGAAAACTTGGGTCTGGTCTTTTTTTTTTTTTTTTTAAGAGAGGGAGAGAGAGAATTTTAATATTTTATTTTTTAGTTCTCGGCGGACACAACATCTTTGTTTGTATGTGGTGCTGAGGATTGAACCTGGGCCACACGCATGCCATGCTGAGCCACATCTCCAGCCCTTGGGCCTGGTCTTGACTGTGCCCCTAACTTGCTGCAAGGCATTGGGCGGATCCCTTCCTTACTCTTCCTCATCTGTATGTTGGGAGTGATGTTGTCCCTTTACTGCATGGGGTTCCAGTAAGGAAAAAGGAACATAGTTGGAAGGAAGATAAAATTGTGTTATTTTTCCTTTTCTGCCCCCTCCACCTTCCCCTATGTTGCAGAGATTCTCTTAACCATCCATGATATCCTCAGGACCTTCCTTCTCTGACCTTCTCGCTTTCAGGTTCTTTAACGAAACTTCCTCAAAAGCCAAAACTCAAGAGAAAGAGGATTAAGGAAGCTCAAGAAACTCCAGAGACCTGCCAATAAGAAGACCCGCTGGGACAGAAGGCCTGCTCACCCTGGCTCACAGAGCACTACTGGGACTTGGACCTGTCAGCACCTGGGGGGAGGGGACCAATGAGGGAAAAGAACAAAATCATTCTTATTGAAGGGATGCTCAGGTCTTGATTATGAATAAATGGGGTGGAAGATAAACATTACTAAGACAATTCTGTTGACTTGGCTAATAGCCATCTTTTGTTCACTTTAAAAAAAAATTGTTTTAAAAATATTTGCCAACCAGGTGCAGTGGCCTGTAATCCCAACCACTAGGGAGGCTGAGGCAGAGGGATCACAAGTTTGAGGTCAGCCTCAGCAATTTAGTGAGGCCCTAAACAACCTAATGAGACCCTGTCTCAATTTTTAAAAAAAATGGCTGGGGATGTAGCTCAGTGGTAAAAGCACCCCTGGGTTCAATCCCCATACCAACACACACACACACACACACACACACACAGAGTCCCATAGTCCCTGTGTCAAGGATCATCAGAGACCAATGGGGATACAGACTTGTGAGTAGACTCCACAGCGGGGTGGATGAGTGATAGGGGAGGGAACAAAGGAACTGATGAGTGTTTGCCCAGGGAGAACACAGGGGCCTGTGGGGGGATGAGCTGGAGTCAGTCAGTGACAAGTTTGGCAGCCTGCCTAAATCAGCTGGATTTCATTTTGTGGATAACTTGAGGTGGGGTAGCGAGGGAGGTGTTAAACAGCGGGATGAACTGATATGATTTGGGCCTTGGGAGATGTGACTGTGAGCAAAGTGCACAGAAGTGAGCGAGGCTGGAAACAGGAAGAGACATCAGTTGTCTTAGCCAGTGGTCAAAAATGGACAGCCTAGTTGGGAGTGGTGATACAAGTCTGTTATTCCCAGCCATTTGGGAGGCTGAGATAGGAGGATAACAAGTTCAAAGCCAAGCTCAGCAACTTAGAGATCCTGTCTCAAAAAATAAAAAGGACTGGGGGTGGGGTGTGACTCAATGGTTAAGTACCCCTGGATTGAATCCCTGGTAACAAAAGGAAAAAATAGCAGCCTACCACTGTGTTTTGTTTTCCCCAGTGGGGTTCTACTCATGGTAAACGACAGACATTAAAAAAATCAGTTGCCAATATTGAAACTTGATTTTTTCACATTAAGAACATCAGTGGTAGAACACTCGCCTAGCATGTGTGAGGCACTGGGTTCGATTTTCAGCACTGCATATAAATAAATAAAGGTCCATCGTCAATTAAAAAAAATTAAATATTAAAAAACCATCAAGTCAGGCATAGCCTGGCTTATAATCACAACTACTCAGGAAGCTGAGGTCTCCCTAAGTTGCTGCTGAGGCTGGCTTTGAATTTGCAATCTTCCTGCCTTAGCCTCCCGAACTGCAGATATTACAGGCATATTACCTGACAGTTTTTACAGAGCAGGGAGAACTTAGGTGAGAAGGCAAGCAAGCGGGAAGGTGACCATGATGATTAGAGACTCCTGGATGGTGTTTTTTTGTTTTGTTTTGTTTTTGTACCAGGAATTGAACCCAGGGGTGCTTAGCCACCGAGCCAAATCCCAATCCTTCTTAATTTTTTATTTAGAGATAGGGCCTTGCTAAATTGCGGAGGCTGGCTTTGAACTTGTGATCCTTCTGCCTCAGCCTCCCGAGCCACTGGGATTGCAGGTGTGTGCAACTGCGCCCCCAGTACCCCCAGCCACCCAGGATGTTTTCCACTTCTGAGAGATCTCACTAAATCCTAGGGACAAATTGCTTTGGGATTAGATTGACAGATGTCCCCCTCATGCAAGGCAGCACTGCCACCTAGAGGAACTATGGGACAGTACAACCTTCTTTCTCCAATCAGGGCTGGAAGGATGTGTAAAAAAAGATGAAGATCAAGAGAATGGGGTGGGGAGCTTCGTGTCAGCCTTGGGAACAGTCAAGGGGCCTGAAGGTAAAATGGGCAACAGGTGAAGCTGGGTTTGGAGGCCTCTTAGTTCTTTCCTCAAATTCAATAGGAGGTTAGAATTTCCAGAAAAGTAGCACACACGTTAATGCTCTGCTGAAAACCCTCCAACAGCTCATTTCACCCAAAATAAAAAAGGCATTGCAAGGGCCTAGAGGGCCCTCTAAGATCTATGCCCACTGTCCACTCTACCACCTGTCCATCCTCATCCTGCTTTTCTCCTACTTGTCAAGCACACCACTGTGTTAGCTTTCTGTCACTGTGATAAAATCCCTGAAATAATCAACTTATAAGGAAAAAAAAAACCTTATTTTGGCTCCAGGCATCCATGGTTTCAGCCCATGGTCTGTGGCCCAGCTGCTTTCAGACATAATGGCAGGGAGCGCCTCGTGCAGCAAGAACCCTCATGGCATCTGGAAAGCTGAAGAGAGAGGAAGAGGAGCAACTGGAGTTATAATATTCTCTTCAAGGGCACACCCCAATGACCTAGGACCTGCAACTGGGGGACATTAAAGATCCAAACCCAAGCTCCAGTGTCCCAGGGACTTTTCACTGGCCGCTTCCTCTGTCTGAAATGCTCTTCCTGAAGTGTCTACTTGGCTAACCCCTGCATGTCCTTCAAATCTTGGTTCACATGTGTTTTTGTCAGCTTTCTCGCTGCTCTGACTATAAGACCAGACCAGAACAACTGTTAAGGAGGACATGTTTATTTAGGGGCTCACAGTTTCAGAGGTCTTAGTCCATAAAAGGCCAGCTCCATTCCTCAGGGTGCTGAGGCAGGATGTCATGGTGGAAGAGAGTGGCAGAGGGAAGCTGCCCACATGATGATCAGAAAGCAGACAGAGAATCCACTCACCAGACACAAAATATATACCTCAAAGGCAGGCCCCCACTGAACCACCTCCTTCAGCCACAGCTTATCTGCCTCTAGTTACCACTGATTAGGTCAAGGCTATAACCCAACCATTTCTTCTCCAAACCTTGCATTGTCTCACTTGTGAGCTTTTAAGGGATACCTAAAACATCCAAACCATAACAAAGTGTCACCTCTATAATGTGACCTAGCTTGTCCACCTGTTTGAAGTTGAAAGCCCCATACTCTGAATACCCCTTCCTCTGATTTTGTTTTCCTAAAGCACTTAACCCCACAAATAGTATGTAATTTATTCAATGATTGTATTTCTTATTTATTGACTGTCTCCATTTCTTTTTTTAAAAATATTTTTTTAGCTATACATGGACAAAATATCTTTATTTTGTTTATCTGTTTTTTTATGTGGTGCTGAGGATCGGACCCAGTGCCTCACATGTGTAAGGCAAGCACTCTGCCACGGAGCCACCACCCCAGCCTGACTGTCTCCATTTCTTAAAATGTTAAGTTCTACAAGGGCAGAGATTTTTATTTTGGGTCTAGTTGATTGCTATATCACCAGCAGTTACAGTAGTATCCAGCACCTAGAAGTTACTTAACCAATTTTTATTGAATAAAGGAATGCACCAAAGCAAGGCTTTTTTTATCCAACTCCTTTTTCAGAGGGGAAAATAGAGACCCAAAGAGAGAGGTGACTTCTCCAAGGTTCTACAGATCTGTAAGAACTAGTACTTACAGAACTCAATTCTGATGAACGCCCCCACCATCCCAGGCCACTGTGCTCCCCATTCACCAATGACATATGTTCCACCTATTCTCTGCCAACACTAATTTTTCACAGAATATAAATAACCCTCAAAACTAAGTGTATGGCTGGATATGGTGGTGCCCACCTATAATTCCAGCAACGTGGGAGGCTGAGGCAGGCCAACCTCACCAACTTAGCAAGGTCCTCAGAAACTTAGTGAGACTCTCTGTCAAAATAAAAAATAAGCTGGGGATGTAGCCCAGTGGTTAAGCACCCCAGATTCCAATCTTCTGGTACCCAAATAAAAGAAAAAAGAAAAAAAAAAGGTCTGGAGATGCTATGTGATTTAGTGGTAAAGATCTCCTGGGTTCAATTCCCTGTAGATCCGCAACCAAAAAAAAAAAAAAAGAGAGAGAGAGAGAAAGAAAGAAAAAGACTAAATGATTAAATGTATTACTTCTTTTAGGATCATCTATATTTTCTTACTTAAAGTATCTACCCAAAGTATGACTTTCTAACGGTAGACTTTGAGATGCTAGAAAAAGGTGGTTGGGGGAGACTATGTGGAAGTGGGGAGGTTGGTGGAAATCCCCACACCACACCTTGGCCTGTGCTGCCTTATAGGTTAGGCTCAACCTAGAGAAATACCCCAAAGCTAGACCAAGTAGCCCTCCAAGAGGATCCCTTTCCTACAGCATAAGTGTTCCTGTCCCTAAAGTCAGTTTGTTGTTGTTGTTGTATTTATTTATTTATTTGGCCCTGGGGATTGAACCCAGGGCACTTAACCACTGAGCCACATCCTCACTCTTTTTAATATTTTATTTAGACACAGGGTCTCACTGAGTTTCTTAGGGCTTTGCTAAGTTGCTGAAGCTGGCTTTGAACTTGCAATCCTCCTTTCTCAGTCTCTTGAGCCACTGGGATTACAGATGTGCGCAACCACACCTGTTTGGGTTGGTTTGTTTGATTGTTTGTTTTTTAAATATTTATTTTTTTTTTTAGTTTTAGTTGGACACAATACCTCTATTCCATTCATTTATTTTTATGTGGTGCTGAGGATCGAACCCAGGGCCCCGTGCATGCTAGGTGAACGCTCTACTGCTAAGCCAGAATCCCAGCCCCTGTTTGTTTTTGTTAATTTTTTTTTTTTTAGTTGTTGATAGGTCTTTATTATTTATTTATTTATATGTGATGCTGAGAATTAAACTCAGTGCCTCACACATGCCAAGCAAGTATACTACTCCTGATCCCCAGTCCCAGCACCACCCCCCCACTGTTTTTTTTTTTTTTTCAATGGGGGTCTCGCTATGTTGTCCAGATTGGTCTTGAACTCCTGGGCTCAAGTGATCTTCTTGCCTCAGTTTCCTGAGTACCTGGGATTGCAGTTATAAATGGCAGAGAACTCTAACCACAGACATGACAACTGAATATTGCCAAGCCCATTCCCACCCCAGTCCCCCAAGAGTAACCCATAATCTCCTCTTCGTAATAGCACTACCACCATATCCGTAACTCAGGAGAGATGGCTAAGTGGTTTGTATTCATTCTCATTTGATTTTGTGTCAAATGCATGGGGAGACTCCTCCCCATGGCAGAGAAACAAATCA